GGAATCAAGCACTTGCCGCAGAAGTTGGTGCACCATAACAGGAAGGACTGGAGTAAGTTTTTGGATGATGCTCTCTGGGCTCAGAGGACAGCTTACTGGACACCATTGGGCATGTCTCCATTTCGAGTGGTGTTTGGTAAAGCATGCCACCTTCTGGTGGAAATTGAGCATAGATCATATATGGCTGTAAAGAGTTGTAACTTGACACTTGAGCAGGCTAGAATTGAATGGCAGCTCCAACTTCAGGAGCTTGATGAGATACGCTTGCAAGCCTATGAGAATTCTAGATTGTATAAAGAGAAAGTTAGGAGATTTCATGACACACATATTTTGAGGAAAGAGTTCTCTGTAGGCCAGAAAGTGTTATTGTTTAACTCTCGGTTGAAATTGATTATAGGTAAGCTGCGATCTAGATGAGATGGACCTTTTGTGATTACTCATGTTTTTCCCCATGGTGCAGTTGACATTTCGGATGAAGCTACTGGCAGGACTTTTAAAGTCAATGGTCATCAGCTGAAACTATTCTAGGAGAGCAAACCAGTGGAGTTGGCTCAGAGCATAGTTGATTTATCCTTAGTGGTGCCGACTTTGATAGAGGATGTGTCTACATAGGCACTTGGGGCATTGTTTTCTTTGACTTTTGTTTCTTTTCCTTATGCTTTTCTTTACCTTTTCTTGCATATGTTTTGCATTTTCTACTTCTTTTTTCCACATTGCGGACAATGTTTGATTCAAGTGTGGGGGGAGTATGCCTTAGCATATTTTTCATTGGATTCCTTTGATTTTAGATTTCATTTGTGTGAGCAACTTTTTATTTGTCATTCTTAGTTGAGAGTTCCATAACATGATAGAATTGTTTCATGCATTTGAGTTTAGCTGGTTTTTCATGATAATTAGATTTTGGATAAATGATTGGTAGAATAATTACCTTAATAAGATTTGAGCTTATTGTCTTTCTTGTGTGATTCACTCATGTTTGTAAGTACTCCAGAACTTGACTTGACTCTTTTTGAGATTATTTTTTCACATGCACTGTTGATATGATTTAGGCCTTCTTTCACATTTTAGCTACTTAGCCAAATTGACTCACCTTGCATTTATTTCACTTGTTTACCCTTTTGAGCCTTATTAACCCTTTCTTGATGATTTTGTAACTCATTACAAGCCATGTGACCTGAAAAACTATGATTCATCTAACCTTGGAGATTAGATGAGCTTTGGAATTGTTTTGCGAGTTGGTTAAAAATAAGTGTGGGGGTATTATGTTATATTGTGCTTTGTTTGGAAATTTGGATGCATTATTAGTCACTAGAATAGTAGCTTAAAAAAAACAAACAAAAAACAAACAAAAAAATAGAAAAAAAACAAAAACAAAAACAGAAAAAAGGAAAGAATTTTAGTATTGAATTTTAGATACCTTTCTACTTGTTTTTAACTCATTCCCCATTACTTTTCTTTCTCTTGGTTTTTAGCCTAGTCTACTTTCTTTTTATCCCACCTTTCCCTAGCCACATTACCTAAAAGTCCTATTGATCTGTTGATGCATATGTTTCAAATAGTGGAAATTAGAGACTCTTTAAGCCTATGGTTATGCTTACTTTCATGATGTGCTTTGAGTGAAAATGTTAACCTATACACTTGAGAGAATGAGTGATACACATACCTTTGAGAGAATTTTTGCCAATTGTGATCCATGATTTAGTTAGATTGAAGTTCTTCTTTACTTTTATGTTAGGACATACTCTTGATTGTTTTTTATTCTTTCATACTTTAATTGATGAATTCATTTTCTTTCTTGCTCACATCACTTTCATACTTTGATTGATGAATTCATTTTTTTTCATACTCTTTTTTCTGAGTTTTTCTGCTTTCTTCATATATTTTTCTTATCAAATGTGTTAGAATTATGCTAAAATATCAGTAAAAATATGGATTCATCAGTTTTGCTTGCCTATTTTCAAAAGCTTTGTAAGAAATATAATAGACATGTTAAAATTCAAACTATATGTTATGTTGGTAAAAATTATGTTGATGGTATATGTGCTCCCCCACATGTGTGATGCCTTGAACTTTGCAGTTGGTGTTGTCCTTGGTCAGAAAGTGGAGAAGCAACCCCATGTACCCTCATCTTTTCTCTAAGGCATTTGAAGTAAGTTCTCTAAATTTGAAGTTAGATTCACTGTTCGTTTCTCTTCTCCTTCTCTTTCTCCTAGAAGTTCATAGTGTTCGTAGGAGAGACTGTTCTAAAGCCAAAATCTTCAGTGAATCTTATATTAAAATAAGTAATATTCGGTAGATCTGGTGTGAATCACCGTTCTAAGGTAAGGAGAGCTTACTTTAGCCTATGAACTATGTTTTGAGCAGTTTGATATGCTATTAAAGAAAGGTTTGAGTTGGTTTTGTTAGATCTTCTTTATAAAAGCTGAGATATAAAGGAAATAATACTTGAAAGTTATTTTTCTAGGCTGTAACCACTGATCATTGATTTAATAATACTGAGATTTGGCTGATTTATTATAAACTTGTCTTAGCTGAGTTGTTGAAATGATTTTAGCCGTTCTACATCATGCTGTGAGATATGTCTTACACCATTATAGAGCCGAGTTACACGTTTAGGTGGGTAGACGTGTAATGATAGAGCATGTTGAGCTGTGCTATGCTATCTGAATCTATATACTGGAATGGGTCGCTCCCAGATCGGCTGGTTCCTTCTAGACTACTTTGGCCGTGAAATCAGTTGGAAACCGTTTTCATGTTATGCATTAGATGGGCTGAGAATGCATAGGGCTGTTGGTGTGAGTAATATTTTGCTTGCTATATATATGTTTATTTTATTTTATTTTTGTAAACTCACCCTTGCATTTCTGTCTATGCTGTTGTGTGCGTGTGTACTGCGATGATCATACAGTGGTACGTGAGCAAATGCAGTAGGTGCTGCATCTACTCCACTAACTGAGGGGCCAGTGAATAAGTGTTAGAAAACTAGAGTCGTGTAATTTTGCATTTAAGTCATTTTCTTTATATTTTGAGATCTGATATAGAGGGAGTGATGTAGTAAATTTTTTTTATGTATTTTGAGTATTATGAACTAAATGTAATATTATGTTGTTCTGTTGAATATTTGTCATAAAAAATTCTATTTATTTTAAATGAAAAGTAAATTTTATACTTATATTCTTTGTTATTTATTTATCTCAAATAAGTAAGTGGTGTAATAATAATGTTCTCGATTCCTTACAAAAAGGGATCATGACATCTTCTCTTGAGGCAGCTAAGTCAGGTCCTGCTAAAGAATACACGTCTCTAGGAGACTCACCCTACAATGGGTTTATAAATAGTAAAAGAAAATTACTCTGTAGGTTCTGTTAAGGTTTATGATTTATTTGATTATGTATTGATCATGTTGGTGTCAACCTTTTGATCTATTGATACTTTATGTACTTAGTTCTCTTAGTCTTAGGTGTGGTAACACTTGGGGCACAAAGACTGTATCTTACAATATTCTGAATTGGTGTTTAATGCTAAGGGAAGCATATTTATGTTGTTTCCATTGAATGATAAAGTATATATACTTATTATGTTTTACTTTGAATTAAGGACAGGTGTTGTACAAGAATATAAAAGAATGTTCGATGTCATGTGAAGATTTGAACCGCTCTTTGCTTATTCATAGGACTACATGCATTCACTTAATAAAAGTATATCATGGATGCTATATATCTCATATAGAAGAAGCACATCCCATGATTATATTACATGTCATTGAATGTTTATTAGACTTAGTTAGGAGCTTCACAAGTTTTACATTAAAAGTTGAAAATTATAAATTAGTTTTAAAAAAATTAAATTTTGCTTAAAGAGAAAAGTAATTTCAAAATGACTCTTAAAATTTAATTTGCAAATAAAAATTAATTTCTAGAAATAACCTATAAATGACTTCTAGAAGTTATTTTTAAATGATATAAACTTAATTTAAAAAATTATATTCTAAAAAATTTATAAATAAATTTTGAAATTTAATATTGTATTATATTAAAAATACTTTCAATAATTGAAAAAAATACATGGTGCAAAATCTACTTAGCTTCTGAGAAATATCTAAGCAATTGACTATAATTAATACCATAAAACGTATATGCGTTTAACTAACTTACCCGTGTATTACACAATGATTTTGATAACTCAATTCTGTTTTACTTTTTAGTTTATTAAAAGTACTGTATTTCTATCTATGTCCGAATTTGTATAGCTAAGCTCCATTAATGGGAGAATTCACAAGTGTCCGTAAAGATGTTAATTTAATGACATTATGATATCTGTAATTTGAATTATGTATAATTTTAGTTGTTTTATATTTTTAAAGTCAATTAGGTCCTTTTAAGTTTTTAATTTAAGAACTATTTTCTTTTACCTAAAACTCAAATTTTTATTTGCTATTCACAATCTTCATAAATTGAATCAATAAACTTATTTCTGCCAAAGTCACTTACCAAATCATTAAAATATATCCATAATAAACAATATTATCAAAACTTCCTCTCGTTAAACTCTAATATTATCTTATATAATCCTTCAAATTATTTATTTCTCGCCAAATTTCTTGATCATAAATTTTTAAAAGTATTTCATATCTAAAATCTATATAGTAAACCCTTGAATACTTAGATAAAAAAAATTAATTTAAAGTAAAAATTTAATAGATCTAATTTTTCATTTCATTTTTCTAAATTAAAGAAACTTAATGTCATGATCATATAAAGGACAATATATGCAAACTAAGAAGGAACAATAGTAAAAAGAAAAAAAAAAAAGAAGAAGAAGAAAATAATGCATTGCAAATATTTGGTAGACCAATGTGACGCAAATGCAATCTAAATTAGCATAGTGAATTTCATGAGTTCTAACCTTGGAAAATATGTATTTTTGATTCGTGGACTTCGGATCATAATACTTGAAAAAGAATACAAAACTTAATTGATTAAAATCACAGTCCAAACTAGAAAGGTCTTATAAATACAATTAAGCATAAAATGTTTGTTAGGCTACAAAATATTGCTTAGTTTAGTGCTCTCCCAGGACTAAAACACCCAGAGATGAAAAAAGATATCAGGTGAACAAATACACAATTCTTGGTCCTTTACTTCTGTATTAGATGGTAACTAACGGGTTTGATTAGATATAGAAATGCACATGAAGATTTGGCAGGGAATTATTGTAAATTTGCTTTCGGTGAACAAATTAGTTCTTCAATGTGTAAACTGTAATCACTGACATCTAGCTTGGTTGACTTATCTGCCACACCATTCCCTTCTTTTCTTGAAGTGTAAATAAATGATGAACAAAAAAGATCATGAGTATTGACCAAAGTAGGTAGTTAGACCCCATCAGAGCACGATGTAATCGTAGGGTTAATCTACGGAGTTAATCTAGGGTGAAGAAATAAACATTACATGCTAATGACATTATTTGGATAGAAATTCACGAATACGAACTGGCCTCTTTACTGCATTGGTGAAGCCCTGCGACGAAATGAAGAAGTCGAAGTGAACATTTCTGTTTAGGCAAAAGAGGATAAACAGAGAGAAAAATAACTACAAGACGCGCCCCAATTTTATTCTCTTCCCATAGAACCAATTATTATTATGTGAAGCAATAAGTAGCATTCGTAAATTTGTATCAGTGACATACAGGTTGAACACTGAACTTCAAATCTGATTTAAAAATATGTTGTATCGGCTGTTCAAACCAACCAGAAACCATTTTGATCTAGGGAAACCTTAAAACACCCCCAAATGGAAACCACTCAAAACAACAGAATCAGACCACTTTCAAATATCAGTTGGTTTCCTTGGATGACCAAATATTTGTGACTTAATTTGGTCAAACATAAAGACTCAAGATTATTCTTCACCATAAATTCAAAGAATAAACTGGCCCATATCTTAGTGAGAGCATATGAATTTCCATATAGCAGCTCTACAAACGGATGCATGCAATATTTGCACATTGCAATGAATAGCAAGAAAATTATTCAAGAAGTACAATTTGCTTGCACTTCACTATCAAAGTTAGACAAGATAATTAACTTATCAATGAATTAACAGCTATTAACTTAAATTTTTGCTCCATTGTGCCTAAAAGAAGTGAAACTACATGCAATGGTTTTGCAAAAAGGTTTCTCTTAACATTTCCAATGCCCTTGAATGAGTGCCTTCAGGTCCGCAACAATGTATATTTATTAATTAAATGAAAAGATAAAAAAATTTGCATTTTCATTCATTACCAAAAGAGAAAAACAGTATACCTCATTAAATTTAAAAAGTAAAGGGTGTTGATCTTTATCCATTGTAGCTTCTTTCTGTAGAGATCTATCATTTAACCTTTTAAACCTGTCCTTGAAACAAAGAGAGATCAGCTGCAATAAACAATGACTTGGTAATGATACATAAAACATCAATCCTACCATACATCAAACAATAACCAAGTAGGACCACTATATACATCAATGAACACCATTAATCTTATTATACACAAGTCATTATAGTTTTTTTTTTTTTTTCATTCTTTAATAGTAAAAGATGAGATCTTCACATTTTCTACAAAACATGGAATCTACTAGAAAACTAAGCTCAACTCATTCTATCCAAGCCTTATAAGGAGTATTTTGACTTTATTCTATTCCTAACCAATGTGGGATATCTTAAGACACTCATCACGCCTAGGATTAGACATCTAGTGCGTGAAGTTTGCAAGACTTGATATGTTGCATGGATACAACACAAAACTCAGTCACGACACATACGGGGATACAACAAATTTTAAAATTTATAGGACACTACACGGCTATAATACAATACACAAATTTTAAAGCAAAAAGAATTTTAATTTTAGCATGAGTGATTTAAAATATGATAAAATGATATAATTTCTATAATTATTATAGTATTCTCATCTTTGTTGATATAAAAGTTCAAAAAACTTAAAATATATATATATATATATATATATATATATATAAGAAGTGTCTAACATAAATATGTATCTAACACTATACAATATGGATACAACCACGGTTTCAATGTATCCATGCTTCCTTCACACACAAATCACTTTGAGAAAGAATCACCTGTCAAAGAAACTGGAGGAACTACTGGATAATTTTTTCATATTTTCCAAGTTTAGTATTTTTGCACTGTTTGTTGGACTTGGACTTGGAACTGTTGTGAGATTTGCATTTAACTGCCATGCTTTATTATCAACCTGATTTTCAATGGTTTTCACATCAACTTCAGCAGCAAGATTGGTATTGGCTAATGAGATGCTTTTAGTTCCTGTCTCAATAACTTCATGCTCTCCATTTGATAAAGCCACAGGTTTGTCAATATTAACTTGTAAAATTTTATGCTTTTCAACCTGTAACATGTTAAATAGTGGACACAAATACAAGTGAGAAAAAAAGGTATGGACATCCCTACCCAATTGCCATATTTTAAATCAATCAATTTGAAGGAAAAAGCTATTTCAGCAGTAAGCCATGATAACATCCAATCAGGCGAATACAGAACCGAATAATATAGGGTTTTATGAGGGGGTCTGAATGCAATCCATTCAGCCACTAATTCCAATCCATCCACACATAAATCTAACCAACACATCCAATTATAAAAATAAAAAATGAATGAATGAATTGAATTGGATCACCCTTTGTTATTGGATGGATCATAAACTGTCCAACTTAATTAGTAATTCTTTGGATTAACACTCCATAGTCTATATTAGTTGGGCATAGATGTTTGTGTGTGTGTGTGTGTGTATATATATATATATATATATATATAAGAATGTGTGTATATATTAAACTATTATTTAAAAAAATATATATATTATACATTAAATTTGATGAGTTGGATATTAAAATAGATAGGGCTTTCTCTCTAAAGGCCCAAAATAAAATCATTAAAGGCTTGTGCATAAATGCCCTAGAAGGGAGCTCAGACTTTTGGGGACTCTGAGATTTAGACCTTGGGTCTTTTAGAACTTAGACATTAAGATAGACAGCACTCGAGGAGATCAGAGTTACCCATTAAGGAAGAAGCCACCATTGAAACCCAAAAAGATTGATGCAAAAGTGGAGACTTTTTAAATAGGATCTGGGATCTACAAGAACAACATACTCCTAAGGCTTTGTTTGAGAGTTAGTTCTTGAGGACAAAGGGAGGGAAAGATGATAGCACCTTAGGCCCACTGAATCCTGAGGAGAAAAGATTGATTCTAGTGAGGGAGACAAGCTCAAAAGAATCCTAAAACGTCCACCTGGCTGAGAGGATTTTGTTCATTGAGGGAAAGATTTTCAATAGTGATTTCTTTGAAATTTTCCATATTAGTTGTTATGAATTTTGTTATTTTGATGCTGTTTCATCACCCAATGATTGGGTTTGTTATTTAGTTTTTTCAGTATTCGTTTTTCCCTTTATACGCATGCACTACTATAAGAAAGAATAGAATGAATGAGAAGGCAAGAAGAATTATTCAGAAAATCTACTTCTCCCATAATTTCCGGAGGTACCTTTCCTGGCCTCTAAAGCAGGAAATCATTATATTGTTAAAGTCACCCCTACCAAAAGAGAATACAGATTTGATGCTATTGGGATTTTTAAGATGAGAGGGTAAGGTTTTATAAACCCTCAAAATCCTCCTAACCTTTATGTTTTTAAGTTCCCCCAAATTGTAGGATTTTTAATTAACCCTTCCCCCTCCTTTCTCTCATCGCTTACTCCTAAAACCTTTTCCTTTCCTTTCCTATCCCTCCAAACTCCCAAACAAAGCCTAAGGGTAGATATTAGGATTCCTTCCCTTTTCTGCTCAAACTTTTTATTGTTCTTATTTTTCTCATTATGTTTAGGTTTTGTAATGCAAGTATGAGTGAGTAGTTTTCTTATCTTAGGGTTTGGGAGTATCTCCACTTAATTAATGACAATGTAATGAATTTTCTATTAATCTTGATTTCTCAATTTAATTATTGGTACCCTTAATGCTTGTGAATTTGTTGGACCCCTTATTTACATGATTTAAGATGTTAAGGAAAGGACTAAAGGTAAACCTTATCATTAGAAACTCTATGATTAAACTTAAGATTCTAGACCATGAAAGCTACATATCTTGAGGAATTATGAGTTACCATAACACTTAATGAGTTTAATTAGACAACATATTATGACAACAGTAGAAGTTAATATAATTAAATTCGTTATTGTATTTTGAAAGAAAATAATAATTACCATAGTGTAATTCACCTTCAAGATAAATCTAGAATTAATTTAAGATTTATTTTAATTAAGTTCATCAATTCTAATTTGTAGTGAGACTAATCCCTAAAAGTTTGTTACAATTTGAATTAATCTATTTTTAATTAATTGTGATTATAAATATTTTGCCTTTTTCAATTTTCTCTTTAATTTGTTTAATGAATTGGTTGCATTTAGATATTTAAATTGTAATTATTCAGTACTTAATAATGCAGTTCTTGTGGATACGATAAGTCTATGTTACTTAACAATAATAGTGTACTTGCAGCTCTACTGGATATCCATCTATAAAAAATTGTTAATGGATGAGCTAGATTGTTTTTTCAGAGTTATGGCTGAACTGAATTTTTTAACATTTTTTTAATATATCATGAATAGATTAATGGTTTACTTTTATCCATCCATTATGATTCAAATTCAACATTTATCCAATATATCCATTTGACACTCCTTGGTTTTACCAAGGTTTGCAAGCAATCATAGGAACGCAATCATAAAAATGATTAAGAGATTACTGCTATAATATTAAAACAATAAAACTAAACAATAGATGTACATAGGTTCATACAGGCAGATATATTGGACATCTGTATTTCATTTTCAATATTTCAAATTCAAACTTACAGGAAAATTTACCTATTAACCTGCACACAAAGCAATTATTATATTAAAACAGCAGTAAGAATACTAGAAGAGTACAATCAGTGGTCAGCAAAAATTAAATATTTCAAAAAATAAGAGGTTTTAGTATCCTTAAATGGAGAAGGAAGAGAAAAATATTTAACTAAGTAAAACATTAACATTCATGATGTCTCACCTCATGCACCAAAACCTGCTTCATAGCTAAGGAAAGCATAAAATGGTTTGAGGTATAATCCTGGACAAATGTAGACAATAGAATAAATATTAAAATTTGGCTGAGATTCATATACTTCTATGATATAAGTATGATCAATGATCCAAATTCCAGACCTTGAAATTTATGAAGTCACTGATTGGAGGAACAAGTGACAGTGCCAAATCATCTGCCACTTCACTTTTCAGGGTACGAGGCAGCATAGTTGATTTCATAGTCTTATATGTTAATCTGTATGATATCATTGTGCTAACTAATTGAGCAAGATCATTATTCTCCGTATCTGATAATAGCTGTAATGCCACCTAGAGAAGAAAAAAAAGTCACCTCAGAAAACAGAAAAACCTACAGGGGTAACCCAGAGCTGAGTCAGGCTACAGCGATCAGTAAAAGCTTAATCTTAAGCTCAACTTAGCTATCAGGCTACTTAGTCATTGAAAAGAAACATCAAATTAATAATCAAAGCAAAAATTGAAGCTAAGTGGTCTTTATTACAGTAAGAAATTTAACAAAAAAACAAGGTAAACAAAAATACACGAGCAGAGCTGTAGATAAAAGTAGAATAAAGGCTTAAATGTTTAGTCCCTATAAATGACTAAATTTGTTTTTATTCCTCCAAAGAAACAATTATTAGTTTTGGTCCTCAAATTTTAAAGATTTTGAAAATAGTTCCTATCATTAATTTATGGTGATGTGGCATGTATCTAGAAATGTCATGTCAATGACTAAATCCAAGAGACTTCAGCAGTAGCGAGAGCCAGACTACAGTATTCTGCCTCTATACTCGAGCAAGCAACAACAGATTGCTTCTTAGGTGGAGCGTCTATCAACTGGATCAGATGGCCAGTTAGCATCACGGTAAGCATGAACAAAATTGTGGAAATTCGAAAACTTTGGCTGTATTAACAAACCAAACTGAAGAGTGCCTTTAAGATAATGCACGATATGCTTGACGGCTTGCCATTGTAGTTTCTTAGGAGCACTCATGAATTGACAGACTTTCTTAATAGAAAAGCTAATTTCAGGCCTTATAATAGTACCATGCTGCAGAGCAATGACAACTGAACAATAGAGAGTAGGATCAAAGAAATCCTCAGTACCAGCTTTGGACAATTTACAGCCACCAACCATAGGTGGAGATAGCATAAGCCAGACAAGGTAATTTGAATAAGTGAGCTTAGCAGTGACCGTATGGGAAAACATCATTGGAACAGGTAATGGAGCAGCTGGTGGTGTGGGCGGCATGGGAGGTGGTGGGCAAGTGCCATCATTAGGTGAGGAAGAAATGAGAAAAACTAAGGATCGAAACTAACTTTTGATAGCATAAAAGAATGCAAGAAAGGAAGAAAGCAAGAGAAAAGGAAGCGAGAAGAAAAGAAACTCTGTTAAGAGTTTTTCCAATAATAACTAGTCTGTGAGATTAGTTCTAGCTTAAAACAGAATGCCAGAAAAGAGAAAAACAAATACAAAACTAATTCAACTGAGTTGTTGTTAGACACTGGTAGTCAGGCTAGGATAAATAAGAAAAACAATGAATCTTTTATTGATTGAACCCTAGGATTCTGATTAGAGATAACCAGAAATTAGGGAAAGAGAAACAGAATACAAAGATGGCTCTTCGAGAGGTCACTCTCCAACAACAATGATCTCTCTGATACCCCCCACTGCTCTCCCTCCCATTATTTAAAAGTGCATTAACCAACAGATTTCCTATTAATATTCCTGCTACTATCCTAACTTCCCTAATTAACTTCCTATTATTACGGTTCTCACTCCTCCTCCCTTATCTCTAACTAACTAATAAATCTTCCTTATCATTATCCCTTGCATCTCGCCTACCTTTTCTCTAATACACCCTGAATATAGGTGGTCTCCTATCAGTTGTATACTCTAATAATTTCCATTCATCAGCTTACAAAAGATTTACATTGCTTGGTGACTTTATCACCCACAAATTGTAAATTTTAAGACCAGGGAATGGGGAAGATGATTGGACTTGCTAGGGAGGAAAAAATCTGGCTGTATCACCTTCGTTTAGGTCACCCTTCATTTTCTACCCTAAAGGCCATGTTCCCTGGTTTATTTTAGCAACTTTGCATTGGAGTACTTCATTATGATACTTGTGAATTTGCAAGACATATGTGTTAATTTTGCCATTAATAATAATCAAAGAATGTCAGTTCCTGTTTCCTTAATACAACACAGTGATGTGTGGGGACCTTCTAATATTCCAAAAATATATGGGGCTTGTTGGTTTGTCATATTCATTGATGATTGTAGTCGGGTATCATGGGTGTTTCTCTGAAAACACAAAAGTGAGGTAAACCAAGTCTTTAAACACTTCTTCCAAATGATAAAAAACCCAATTTGAGACAACAATTAAAAGATTTCGTTCTAACAATGGCAAAGATTATTTCAACCAAACACTGTCTTCTTTCTTCAATGAACAAGGAAATATTGCTGAATCCTCTCGTGTCAACACCCCACAAAAAAATGGGGTGGCAGAATGGAAAATTGGGCATCTTGTAACTTTTACCCTAGCCTTGCTTCTCCTAAAGAATATTCGAAAACAACATAAGGGGGAAACTATCCTTACTGCCACTTATTTGATCAATCAGCTACCCTAAAAAAAATTGAACAATAACAGTCCAATTCAGCTATTCTCCAAATCTTTCCCAAACTTTAGAACAACAAAATCTCATTGTACCTTGGATATTTGGGTGTGCATCCTTTGTCATGGGTTCATTCTAATCATTAAGGGAAACTTGATCCTCAGGCTATTAAGTGCATCTTTGTCAATTATCCACCTGCCAAAAAGGGATACAAGTGTTATGCCATACAACACGAGTCTTCATGTCTCTTGATGTCACATTTGATGAAAATACACAATTTTCCTGCATTATCTTCAGGCGGAGAGCTTGTGCACGGAACATACGGATGATCTATTCTTACTAAATAACTCTTTCAAAGAAACTCTCGTATTCCCTAAATTATGTCATGTTCATACTCCATCTATTTCAATCCTTGAGTTAACTCCTACATACCCTCTGCCCCTTCATTTGGTCCTATAGAAAAACAATGTCTTTAGTAAAAGACAATAAAATTTAATGTGCGAGTGAGACGACTTACAGATAAAAGATTATAAGGTGACCCAGAAACATATAAGACATTATCAATAAATAACGATGAAAAGAGAGAGAGACAGTGTCAACATCCTGAGACTGTGTTTGAGACCTGTTGGCCATAGTAAAAGAAGGTAAGTAACTAGATGTAGAAAGGGAAGAAAAAAGGGATTTGTTACTAGTGATATGATTAATAACCCCTGAATCAAGAACCCATGGACCAAGAGATGGGGAATGAGAAATACCAAAAAAAGAAACCTATGTGCACAACAAAAGTAGTGGAACCAGAGGCTTGACAATCCCCATACCAATGAAATAAATCATTGAAGAACGATCGTGGTATGTTCGTAGTGAAGCAAATTGCACCACATAGCTGTTCTGGGAGGTTGACCATGCAGAGCATAACAACGAAAAATAGTGACCAATTTTGTGGCATCAATCAAGTTTAAATTGTGAGTGACGATCACCATTAGTTTTACAAGAGTAACCATGATCACCTCCCTGTGAGATCAAGGTTGAACAGTCAATACAGGTAGATGACATAGGAGCAGGAATAACGTATGAGGCAATGGCAACATTGGTAGCAATGAGTAGCATAGAGGACCAAGTAGTAGTCATAGTGGAAGCAGAAGTGAATTCTACAATCTGATCTCGAACTTGGGAGTAATTTGCAGCTAAACCATACAAAGTTAGCAACATAGAAAATGTTTGTACTCCAATTTCATGGCAGCAGACGCAACGGGAGACAGAAATTCATGGAAGTCATGAAGTCCACCAATCATACGACCCAAATAGGTCGACATAGTTCCATCAAATTTCTAAGCGGTAACATCCATGGGATTTTGACATACTCTATATAGATGTCATTGGTGTAAGGTGACTTGGCTTGTAACCAAATCAATTCACACGTATCATCAGAGCAGAAGATTTGCTTCAAAGAAGGATGATGTAGAGATTAAGAGAGGAAGAGATAGAGAGAGAGATAGACAGACAAATTAGTGTGCTGGAATTGGATACTCTACAATGTGTAGAGACCTTTATATTTATAAGGATACATATGTAACCTTACTGAACTAAGCCCGTTATTATAATACTAAAATAAACCCTAATTCTAATTCGTCTATTCTAACTATTCATAACACCCCCCCTCAAGCTGGAGCATAGATATTAATCATGCCTAACTTGTTAACAAATATAATTTCTACGTGTCCCATTTAAAGCTTTTGTAAACACATTTGCTAGTTGGTCGCCCGTCCTAACATGAGAGATGGATATAAGCTTCTGCTGAACTTTTTCTCGAATAAAGTGACAGTCTATCTCCATATGTTTCGTCCCTTCATGAAAAACTGGATTTGAGGCAATGTGTATCGTTGCTTAGCTGTCACACCAAAGTTGCATAGGCTTAGTGCTACCAAATCCTCTCTCTTCTAGCATATGTTTCAACCACATTAACTCACAAGTAGTCTGAGCTATTGTCCTGTATTCTAATTCTGCACTTGATCTCGAAACAATGTTCTGCTTTTTACTTTTCCATGAAATTAAATTATCTCCCAAGAACACACAGTATCCAGTAGTAGATTTTCTGTCCATAGATCCTGCCCAATCAGCATCAGAAAACGCCTCTATCTGTGTATGTCCATGATCCTTGTACACTAATTCTTCTCTGTGACTTATGTACTCCAAGCAAAGAATCTTCCTCATCACTCATACGCACAGTACGTCCTTTCTCTTGAGTAGTGGTATCAAGTTGAGACACCGAGTTAGCAAAACGGAAATTACCTCTACCACCAATGCGACCACCACAATGACCGTATTGGGCTGCCAAGGCAGAGTGGTTAGGAGACTCATTTTCTGTAGTGCTCTTGAGCTCCTCAAAGGAAGACTGCATAACTTTGGAGAAGACATCGGTAAGATTATCAACCTGTTTGCTTGACAGAATCTGAGACAAAAGTACCTCATATTCCGGATCAAGTCCGGAAAGCCAACTTAAAGCCATAAGTTTCTTTTGTTGCGCTATCATCTCGTCAATAGTTTTGCAGGCTAAAAGAGATTGTATCTCCTCCGTATGCTTTTTAAACTCCAAAAAATAATCCATTAGCTTCCGCTTATTTTGTTTGGGTCGATAAACTTTTTGCAAGAGAGCATATAACTGATTCAAATTATCAAATTTTCCAAAAATGAAT